TTCTTTCCTTCCTTCCTTCCTTCCTTCCTTCCTTTCTCCCCCCGCCTCCCTCCCTCCCGTCCTCCAGCCCCGCACTTTACCCAGCGACACGAGGACCAAATTGTCTCCTCACCTTTTTTTTTTTTTAATCCGGACCCTCGCTCCCTGGGGGGCCGAGCCCAGAGCTGCCCCCGGCTGCCCCTGCGCTCCCGCACCCCCACTTCTCAGACGCCTCCTCACCTCCACCCCCAGGCAGGTCGGACGCCTGGGTCCCTCACTGCTGGGGGAGGGGCAGCGGCGAGAACCGGGAGCCCTGGGGCTTCTCGGGGGCGCCGGCAGGGAGGCTGGACGTCCCTCCGCAGCCCGTCGGAGAGTTGACCCGTCGCCGCCAGAGGTGAGGGAGCTTCCAGTAATCGGAGGTGGGCGGATGTGGAATTGGGGCTCTGCGGCCCCCCGACCCTGGAGACGGGCCTGGCCGCTCGGGAGAGGGTGCCGACCCCTCCGCTTCTGGGAGGCTCTGGAAGTGGGGCCCGTGCTTCCCCCCGCGCAGCCGTGGGCCCAGGGCTCGGGGAGGAGTCCCCGAAGCCGGGCAGAGTGCCCCCAACTGCCCAGCGCGGAGCTCCCCGAGTCTGCGAGGAGCAGCCCCCGCCGCGGAAGGGGGAGGACGCCCACGCCGGGGTCCCCAGCTCACCCCCGGGGAGGCAGAGGCAGGAAAGTCCGCCGGCCGGAGAGAGGGGAAGGGGCCGTCCCAGGCCGCGGGACGCAGGTCCGGGCGCCCTGGCCAGGAGCGAGCAGCCAGGAAGGGACTGCGTGTGGGCAGGCGCGAAGGGGGCGCCAGGCCGTCGCCATGGAGACGCCCCCCAGCCGACCTGGAGCAGCCCAGCCTGGGGCCAGCTGACGGGGGGCGGAGGACGCAGGGACGTGGGAGGCCAAGGTCACCCCGCGGCGGGACCGGGGCTCTCGGAGGTGTCGCCGCTGCTCTAAGGGTTCCGGTCTCTTCGCCGCCGCCGGGGGTTTGGAAAGAAGTCCGGGAAAGTGGGGGACACAGGTAAGGGACGCCCGGCCGGGAGAGCGACGGGGTGAAGCGGAGGTGTGGGGGGAGTGCAGAGTCAGAGAGTTGAAGTCTTGGAGATCGCGTTTTCCTGAGCGCTGCGTGGACTGGGGGATCGCTTTACGCCTGGAGGCAGACGGGAGAATGGGAGTTCGCGCCGGTGAACCCTGGGTGCCCGGGGCGCTCCCGAGACCGGACGCCTGTGGGCCCGGGAGGGCCGGCGGGGCGATGCTGGGAGCTCTGGTGGGCGGGCGGGGGCACCTTGGCGGGTGGCAGGAGCGGGCTCGCGGCTTCTGGTCCCCTGAAGGAGAGTTGGGTCCGCGCAGGTTGGGGAGATCCGGGGCGGGGGACCCTCCGAAGCAGGCGAGAGGGACCGTGAGGGCACCGAGGGTAGTCCTCAGGGAGGCCGGGGCCTGCGGGGCAGAGGGGGCTGTATTTCCCGAGCGCAGTGCAGTCCAGGCCAGGAGGAGGACGTTTGTGGACGGGGCCAGTCGGGGTCCGAGGAAGCGGCTGATGAGAGGACCGGGCGGGAGCAGCTGGGGCTTCCGTGGCGGCCGGGAGGAAGGAGTTCTCTAAGTTGCAGAGGCAGCCGGGACCAGGAGCGGGAGACTTTTGGAAAAAGATGGGCAGTTTTCCTGGAGTCAAAGACAGAGTAGGGGATGGGGTACTAGTCCTGAGGACCCCGGATGTGCCGGGATGGGGCGTCCTTGCAGGCCAGGTGGGCACATTCCAGGACCCAAGGGAGCTTTTCGGACCCCGGCTGCTTGGCCCCAGATCAAGTAAACTGGGGTTTCTCGGGTGGAAATCCAGCCCCGGACTGGAAAGGGCTGCAGGGGGTGCCGGAGGGTGCCGGGGGTCACACGCCCCCAGCCGCAGGGTCAGAGGGGACAGGGACCCCCCCCGGGGGCAGTGAGTGGGGATCCTGCTCGTGCCCGAGCGAGGGCCCCTGGGTAAGTTTTTGTTTTTTAAAGCTGATGAGAGACTGTTTTATTTTTCCCAAGGGGAGGAAACTGTAGCAGGGCCGGGGCGGTCCCTCTCCCCAGGAGGCAGGGGAGCGGGACCGGGCGCGCTGACCCCTGTCCCCCCGCAGCCGGACGCCATGGCCGCGCGCTGACCCCGCCGCCGCCTCCCGCCGCCTCCCGCCGCCCGCGCCCGGCCCGGGCCCCCAGTTCCGCCTGCGCTGCGCCCCCCCACCCGCCGCCGGCCTGGCCCCGCCCCCGCTCCCCCGGTGGTGGCCCGCGGCCCCCCGGTTGCCCGCGGTCAAGCTGGAGTCCTTGAAGCGCTGGAACGAGGAGCGGGGCCTCTGCTGCGAGAAGGGCGTGCAGGTGCTGCTGACCACGGCGGGCGCCTTCGCCGCCTTCGGCCTCATGACCATCGCCATCAGCACGGACTACTGGCTGTACACGCGCGCGCTCATCTGCAACACCACCAACCTCACGGCCGGCGATGACGGCCCGCACCGTGGCCAGGGCGCGGCCGAGCGCAGGGACCCGGGCGGCCTGACGCACTCCGGGCTGTGGCGCATCTGCTGCCTGGAAGGTAGGGCCCCGCGCCCCCGCCCTGCACCCGTGAGCCCAGGCTGGCCTCGAATTCACAGCACGCTCCTGCCTCGGCCTCCAGAGTGTTGGGATTACAGGTGCATGCCACCTCCCCGCCCCTTCGGACAAGAGGTCTTTCGAGGTTCCCCAGGCTGGCCGCCATCGGGCTCCAGGCACACCAGCTCCTGGTCTCTCCTTCTTCCCCTCCCTGTGTCCCTCCCTGGGCCCTGCCCTGGCCAGGCCTCGCTGCACCTGGTCCCCCTGGCCTCTGCCCGCCTGCTCCTGGTCTCCTGACCTCTCCTTGGTCCGCACCCTGCTCCTCGTCTCCTCTTGCCCCCCACTTCCTCTACCTGGGCCTTGGGCCCTCTCTGCCCTGTTGAGCTCTTTCCTCATTGTCTTTGCTCCATGGCCCCCTGAAACTTCAGGCCCCTCTCCAGGAGAGCTGGGACTCCTGCCTCTGGTCCCCCTTGGCTCCTCCCTCGCAGGGACCTTCCTCTCCCGCCTCCTGTCTGCACCCTCATCTGTCACCCTCAGGTGCCCTTCCAGCCTCCCACGGTCCCTCTCCCCCTTACCCCTTCAGGCGGCTCTGCTGGCCTCCCCCTCCTGCGCCCTCCCTGCTGCTTCTGCCTCGGGCGCCCCGCACGCCGCCGCAGCCTCTGTCTTGACCTCCACCTCCTCCGTCTCCATCTGTGTTCTCGCCTCCGTGCCAGGTCCCTCTGTGTCCCCAAGATGCTGCCCTCTTCCTCCCCAGCTCCATCCCTCTCCTCAGCACCAGTGTCTCTCCATGCGTCTATATCTGTGTGACCAAGGTCCTCCTGCTCTGCCAGCCTCAGAGCCCCGTCCCCAACACAGAAAGGAAGGGAGTGGCCAGAAACCCAGAGGAGACCCCCACACCTCCAGCCCCGAGACCGGAACACCTTCTCTGTGCCCCCACCCCCTTTCCTTCTGCCCCGGCCTCCTGTCTTCCTAAGCACTCACCTGGGCAGCAACCCCAGGACGCACTTCATCCAGTCGTAAGGCGGCTGCCACCTCCTCCGGGGTGAGGAAACTGAGGCTCAGAGAGGTGAGGCCCTCACTGGGCGGCCCGGCCGTGCCATGGTGGGCCTTGGGAACTGATCCGAAACCCCAGTTGGCTGCAAACACTCAAAACTAGGGAGACTTCCTCCTGTGGAAGACCCGACTCCCAGCTTCGGAGCTCTCGGAGGTCTGAACGCGTGTGGCCCCGTGCCCTGCGCTGGCGGCCTTGGCCCCTTCTGATTAGCAGTTCCCAGATGCGTCCACGCCCTGTCACCCCCACCCCTCCCTCTTCTCTAATTCTGTTACTTTCTTCCTCCTGAGGGTGTTCGAGCTCACCTCCCTTCACTGGCCTCACTGAGTGCCAGGCAGAGGGGCCTTGTGTGCGTGGGGACTTGAACCGTGAAACCCTAGGAGATTGGGTAGCAAGGAGTAAGAATGCCACCCACCCACTCATCCATCCATCCATCCATCCATTTATTCATTCAACAACCAGTCTTTACTGGCTGCATCCTATGTTCCAAGCTCTGTTCTTGATTCTGGGGCAGTGTGGGGAAAAAGCAGACAAAAGTCCTTGTCCTTAAATACCTAATGTTCTGGAGGGAGAGACGCATACTGCCGGGGAGAGAGAAACACTCGGGGTGTTCAGCCCCGGAAGGACCAGGAGCAAGGGCAGGGCCGTGCAGGGTGTGCGCAGTGGACGAGGCCAGGTGACCCCATGCAGGTGACATTTGAATGCAGGTCTGGAGGACGCACAGAGAGGCCCTGGAGTCTGGGGAAAGAGCTTGGGGTGCAGGAGCAGCAGTCGCCAAGGCCGGGCGTGGGTGTGGGCGGTGTGGCCCTGTGGGAGGTCAGCATGGCAGGGCTGGGGCAGAGGCGCGACCTTGAAGGAGGCCCGGTGTGGAGCTAGCAGGGCCCCGGCCTTGCAGGCACCACAGATCTGTGCTTTCGCTGTGAGACGGGAGCCATGGAAGGTTCTTGAGCAGAGATCAGCAGGAGCTGACTGACAGCCTAACAGGATGGCTGTTGCTGCGGTGTTGAGCAATGACCAGAGAAAGCAAAGTGGAAACAGGCAGTGGCTCTCGCAGTGGGGGTGTGGAGCTGGGGAGTGCTTGGGTGTCCAGAGTATACTGACTCCCGTGGCCAACAGAGGCAGGGGCATCTCTGCAGACACGGGGAAGGAGTTCTGTGTGGTGGCCCCAGTTGTGCACATAGGACGGTCCTCCCCCCATGGGTGCCTGCTGCCCCTCCGGGGGTGACGGCCTGGGAGCCTCTGAACCCAGGCGGTAGGTGCCATTCAGCAGCTGGAGTCGCAGGTGTTATGTTTTGTTTCCTTTATTTCTCTCACCCCAGTTCTTCGGAGGGATGCAGGCTCCGTTCTGAGCATGTTGATTTCTTTTCTATGGTGTTTTGTTTTGTTTTGGGTTTTTTGGTACTAGGGATTGAACTCAGGACCTTGTGCTTGCCAGGCAGGCGTGGCACCACTGAGCTATATCCCCTGCTTTTCTATGATTTTTTTGAGACAGGGTCTCATTGTGCAGTTCAGGCTGCCCTTGAACTCACTATGTAGCCCAAGCTGGCTTCAAACTCATCCCGATCCTCCTGCCTCAGCCTCCCAAGTGCTGGGATCACAGGCACGTGCCGTGCCGCCCAGGCCTGTTGAATTTAAGATGCCTGTGCGAAGGGCCAGGAGTGGCACAGGGCTGCTCCCCCAGGCTCTGTGGTGTGTCCTCTCTGCCTTGTCCACCTGTGAAAACAGCCGTGAGCATGGCGTGTCCCAGTCCAGCCTCAGCTGTGGTCGCTGCAGTTTGAATTTTACATCGTTTTCAGGAGCCATGAAATCCCCTCTTTGCTATTTTCTCCACCTTCTGTGAACCGTGAAACTGTGCCTTCGTGGATTCAGTCCATGGCCCACGCAGGGCTGTGGGAGGGTCTGGTCCCGGCTGGGCCATCTCGTGTGGCGGAGGAAGTCACCTAAAGAAAAGGACTGAGAGGAAGAGGAAGGAAGCAGTGCAAGGGTTAAAACTCTAGGGCGAGGAGAAGCCAGCAGGGGGAGCTAGGAGAGGAGGGGGTTCGGGCAGAAGCTGGTAAGTGGGTGTCCTGATAGCCGAAGGAGGTTAGTGTGCCACGGTACCACGGTGGCTGTCATTCACCTGTCGCTGGATGTGCTCGTCAACCCTCAGAGCAGCTACTGCCTTCCAGAAGAGAAAGCCAGGCTCAGAGAGGCAAGGCACTGTCCCCAGGTCACGCAGCACCATGTGCCCGGCTCGGGGCTGGAACCCAGGCCTGTATTTCCTGGGAGAAGAAAGCAACAGGTCCACTGCTTGCAGCCAGTGGCATTGCTGAGGGCAGACCTGGGCAGGCACCTGCCGGGCTCCCCGCCGGGTCGTGCCTCCCGATGGCAGAGTGTGTCTGAGACTGAGATGTCTCTGCATGCTCTGCAGACACATGCACGGCATCCGCCTCTTGTCTTCCACAGACAGCAGGGGGACCTTTTTTTGTTTTTTGTTTCTTTGTTTTTGGTACCGGGGATTGAACTTGGGTCCTTGCGCTTGCGCAGCAGGTGGCGAAACCACTGAGCTAAATCCCCAGCTCCTTTTTTTGTTTTTTTGAGACAGGGTCTTGCTATGCAGTTCAGGCTGGCCTTGAACTCACTGTGGAGCCCAGGCTGGCCTCGACCTCACAGTGACCCTCCTGCCTCAGCCTCCAGAGTGCTGATAGGTATCCTATCTGTGCCTCTTTTCCCTGCTGGGAAGGGAAGATGCTAATTGTCTTAACTCCCAAGGTCAGGGTGGAGTTGGAGGAAGTGAGGAATAAAGTATTTTCCAGGCTGCAGGGCTCAGCGAGGGCTGGAATAGGGGCTTCATCATGTTATTGCTACATCCTCCTTAGGGATTGAGGTGACTTAGCCTTGAGCCCTTCTGCCTAACAGCTCAGGGCTTCTCACCTCCGGCCTCTCCCCAGCCCGTAGAAGTAGAGTGTGAGCTGTTTCTGTCATTTCATTTTGCTGGGGCTGGGGATGTAGCTCAGTGGCAGCCCCCACGCCTAGCATGCAAGAGCCTCTGTCTTCCATTCCCATCACCGCCAGAATAAAATTTTCTAGTAGCCATATTCAATCAAATAAAAAGAAACAGGTGAGCCAGGCTTGGTGGCACACATTTGTCACCTCAGTACTCAGGAGGCTGAGGCAGGAGGATCACCACGAGGCCGAGCCCATCCTGGATTACATAAAGCAAGACCCTGTCTCAAAACACCAGAAAAGCAGGGGCTGTAGCTCAGTGGCACCGAGCCTGCCTCGCAAGCACAAGGTCCTGAGTTCAATCCCTGGTACCAAAAAAACCCACAAAAAACCACACACCAGAAAAAAGAAAAGAAACAGGTGAACTTAAAATTTTCTTTAACTCAGCACAGTCAAATGTCATTTGAATAAGTAACTGATACCCAGAAATTATTCGAGACATATTCCATCCCACCCACACAGAGTGGGCAATCCAGTGTGTGCGTGGGGCTGGTGGCAACCACAGCACACAGCTCCTCCCCTCAGCCCAG